TCAGCTCCGTGGATCAATCTAGCAAAAAACACACACACACACCCCTGACCAATCAGAGGCGTCTATCTGTTGTGGACCTGCTGGGCACCGTGGTTTACAAGCTTCAAAGAGCTCCTTTTAATACACTGCTTTGATAGCCCTCAGCCTTCACTGACCCCCCCGACCATCCACTGGGGAGCATTTTAGCTTTAGTGGAGTAGAGAGGAATAACTGCTGATCATATTAATGAGTGTGGAAAAAAAAAAATCACCTCAAATCTTGACTGCTTATACCACTGGCCTGCTATTCCAAAATACTGTATTCAGAGGAAGTAGCTGAGCTGGTGATGTGACAGATAAAGTTATACAAACCTGCTGCATTATTCATGAGTAAATCACAGAAATCATTAATGGCACTACTAATGACCAGCATAAAGGGGCTTTGGTGGAACTACACAAAGATCCACTTACCATGAAAGAGGGGGACAGTTTGGTTAATAACCCTAAGGGGGAGACAAATCATCATATAACTTACCGCATTAGACATTTGTGTGTTGGGATATCTGCCCAATACTGTAGCACAGTTATTCAAAAGAGGTGCTTCAGAGTTATTGTTGGCCTTTGAATACACTAACACACAAATGTAAAGTTCAGTATTTAGTTCTTGAAATATATTTCTTTATGTTGAGTCTTTTTTAAAAGTAGGTAAATCAACACTATAACTTTGAGAAAGGAAATATTTTTCCTAAAACAGCAGAATGTTTGTCTTCTTATAATCTTGCATACCCTCTTACATGTTAACAGCATTTTTCACTACATACCTACGTTATTAGAGCTCAATAAGCCTTCATTTTATATTTTGTTAAAATATTTCTTTCCCCGGTAAACTAAATAAACGAGTGACCAAAAAGGTGACACAGTAATTGCATTACAAGGAATACTTACTAGGTTCCAGCTGAAAAAACTAATCAGCTAATGAGGGTTTTATTTATTTATTTGTATCCAGTGGGACACTTTGAACAGTGGTAATGAGTTTAAAATAAAGCTGCTATTGATTAATTGCAGACAATAGATGATTTGTGTGCATGATTCTTTGCTTGGGATACATGACGGAAAAGGAAAACACATGATATGACAACTTTAATATGTATAAGAACATGTGCTGTGTAAAAGAGAAGGCTCACACATGATGGGGAGTATTTTGGACATATTTTAGGCGTCAGTCTTTTAATGATTTTTTTCACACCAGCTTATCGAGTTCAGGGTCACAGGTGTGCTGAGGCCTATCCCAGCATGCACTGGGCAAAGGACAGGACAATGGACAGTTCACCAGTGCATTATGGAGATTATGAATTCAAGAGATATGTCTAAATTCCATAATACATACTGGAGAAATAAAAAATGAAGCACACACTTAAATGTCTGTATGCATTCTAGAAAAAGCTTAATTTATGAGTGTACTGTTGTTGTTGTTGTTGTTGTGCACTATCCCTCCGCAGTCCAATGCAAAAAGGAAATAAATAAGGGGAGCTGCAAATATTACACTAATCAGACAGATTGAGGATGATATTTAAAAACCAAAAATACATTCAAATCTAAAAAAAAAATGTTTTTTGTCAATAACATTCCAAAGTCAGGTTGTATGAGGAAAAGTTTAATTTCTGGTATATATATATATATATATATATATATATATATATATGCAACAAGTAATAATTTTCTTCATTGATTAATCCACCTATTCTTTTCTCAATAAAATGCCAGAAAATAGTGAAAAATGACCGTATCCCACAACCTAAGATAGTAAATTGAACATCTTTGGGTCATGTAAGGTGAATACACACCTTGCTTCACCCAAAGATATTACGTTTACGATAATGTACGACAAAGATAAGCAACAGATTCTCCCATTTTGAAAAGCTTAAACCAGCAAATGTTTAAAAAAAATAACTAAATTGATGAATTAATTGTAAAGATAGTTGTTGCTTAATTTTCTCTTGACTAAAAGATTAATTAAGAAATAGAAAAAGTGAAGTACATTATTTTTTTACATAGTATGTACTGTGTGAACACAGCTATACAGTACATACTCTGTTGTACTTTCCAGCTGTTTGGGCAGTCCATGTTGAATACTGGTTTAAATATTTGAGATTGTTTTATCTTATTCTTATATTATGACAATTATGCTGAGTATTGATGTTTTTTCTCTAAGCAGAGGATCGTCGAGCGTTGGAGTGGAGTGTGTCGGTCACAGGCTGAACTCCCTCACGGTGTCCATCGCACTGCGACAGCCCGGGTAAGACCACTAGCTATTAGCATGGGTATCTGATGACGCCCGGGACTCTGCTAACCACTGATTATTCGGCCACTGGGGGAGTTTTGGTGAGCGGGAGGCAGAGAGGGGATCAAGTGCTTTTTCTTGTTCCTGCAACCTGTTCCTGCGCTGTGGCCAGACTCAGTGAACAGAAAAGAAATGAGACAAACCTCCCTCATGTCTGTGCCCACCAACCCTCTTAGACACACACATTTACAAACTCACATTATTGCTAATCAGAGGTCTCAGGGTTACTTTAAAAAATGAAGCTAATCCCTTTCACATCCACTGCTTAGAACCAGTAATGTAATATATTATGGTAATTTTTGAATATCCCTTTTTATTACGGATTTTTACAATAAGATTACAGTTATCCCATTATGTGTAATTGCATTACTCCCTCAGCTTAAATTGATAAACACACCCAACCTGGTGGCATGATTGCAAATAGGCAAAGCAAACTGTTTTGAAATGAGGTAATTAACAGCTGCGTGAGATGGTGAGAGATGTGTTGCCCCCGTATCCTCGAGCTTCAGAGGCCAGGGGAAGATTAGAGCTCTGATCTCATTCCCAGCACTTGTTTGGAGTCTGTCAGGAAGAGAAATGCCAGCATTAGAGAGGTACCGCCACACTCCTGATATGATGAAATAAGGAGAAAAGGGGAAAGGGAAAAAGATGGAGGGATGGACAGAAAGGACCATGCCCTTCTCTGAAGTGTCAGTAGCTTGTTTATTCTATTTTTCATCGTAGCTGCTGGGGCAAAGATTCCTATTTTTCCTTTATTTTTTTTCCCCCCCTCACCTAACAAAAAACACTACTCTCATTTTTTATAGGTCTTGCAAACTCTCATGCCCCAGTGAAAATTACATTGTGAAACGGTAGAAATTTCAGGGCTGCCTGTGCTCTGCCCTGTCCCTCTGAGCTTTCAAACAGTCAACAGACTGTGAAGAATAAATAATAAAAAACTATTGATTATTTTGATGACTGCAAGATTCAATTAGGTATTAATTTTGCCCTCCAGTGGACCTATCAAGCAACTCAAAGGAGAGGAGGTGGGAGGTGGGGGGTGGACCCCAATGCATGCATAGTATGGCCAGGCTCAGACAGAGGGGAAAATGTGTTTACCTCGGCGGGCAGAGAGGTGCATTGATGCGCAGTGTCCCACATTTAAGTGCTCCACAAATGAAGCCCTGATGACTAGTGACATTGTTACCAGGGATATGAGTATTGACCAGTCGGCTTACATTTTTAACGACAGCTTAAACTATTTCTATTGATTAACATTTTCATAGATTATCATGTGTCATATCAAAGAGGGCTGATTCCCGTGATGAGCACATTTAAAAGGCCCCTGTGGGCAGGAACTCATCGACCACCCTGATAGAAGGGAGGGGGGGGTGACAGGACTAACCCTCTTTCTGTGCCTATATGTGCTGGTCACCTGTCCTTTGCTCAGATATATTTAGGCTGGACTTTATTCATAAATAAGAAAAAGGGCCGTAGTCCTGCTGTTCTGTGTCTCAGAGCCTGAGGTGGGGTGAACAGTGTCTGAGGAGCTCTCCAGTCAGAGGACACAAGAGGGAAGAGACAGGGGGAGTGTGTGTGTCTGTGAGAGAGGTAGAGAGAGAGGGAGGGAGGGAGGGAGGGAGAGGGAGGAGGTGACATCTCCAGTGCCTGTCCTAGGAAGCAACCCCAGGCTTGAACCTGTGGTGGCCATTCAGATACACGAAGGTTGAGGAGGCTGCTTCTGGTTCAGTAGAAACATGTACTAGCTGCTCTCTGCGCTGTGGTGGCATGTTTTAGCTGCTGTTTGACTGACTTCTACATTTGGACTTTCTGAAAACCCTTTTTCTTTTTTTACTCTTTTCTTCTGGAGCTTTGTTTAGGTAAGAGCGACGGCTTTCAAGAAACATGACTTTCGATATTTGCAAAAGTCGTAAAAATATACGTAGACTGCATTCTGTTAATTGTGTTGCATTTTCCTCGAGATAAAATGTCTCGATGGAGGCATTGAAACATTTGACGGTATTCATAAAATGCGTTTTTTTGTCATTTTAAACCGCGGTGCTTCAGTTTATATCAATTCTTCTCTTGTTTTCTACTGAGATGTTCAGACAGATAATGCTCTGATCATGTCATGTAGATGCTCTTCATTCTTCGTTTTAAGTGCTGACAAAAAATGTAGATAATTGGGCTAAAATGTTGGGAGCATCAGTGACTTCATCTCTTGTTTAAATCAGGCCTTAAGTTCATGTTGCCTCATACTCTGCTGCAACATGTCACCTTTGATCTCATTTTATGTCCCCAACTATGTGAAAATTGATCTAATCACTGGTGTGTGTTTTCACTCATATCTCCTTTTTAGATGTGGAATTATATTTATTTTTCAGCACACAGCCCATAGACCTCTTTGTAGACTGCTGTCAGCTTAGTGTTTGCTGAAGATGAGGCACATGTCAGGTAGTAATGAGCCCTTGGAGATGGATGTATCACTGTTTTAGGACTGCAGGGTATAATGGTAACGCCACGCGATCCGTAACAGTTCTTCACCAGGCAGCAGCCGGCAGTATCAGCGGGGTAGCACCAGCCTCAGATAAAAAAGAGCGCTGGAGAGGGAGGGAGCAGGAGAGAGAGAGGGAGAGTGATGAGTGAGGAATAGAAAGGAGAAGCTGGGTAGAGAGAGAGTGAGTAGAGACATAGAGAAGGAGCCGGTGAGGGTGAGACGCCGAAGCACATCTAACCAGGGGTGTTTTCTCTTTTTTTTTTCCTCCTCCCTGTTTCCCACCTGGGCTAGCAGCTCCCTCCAGGATCCGATGATTACAGGGCAGCTGAGCAAGCCGCTGCTCTCCCTGCGCAGCGACATGAGCGCGGCAGAACTCCGGGCGGACGACAAAGCGGCCACCCCAGACAGCGATCTGAACGACGAGCCCCTGCTCCTGCCCTCCGAGGCCACGGACAGAGAGGGCACTCCCAACAAGCTGTACGGTAAGTCGGCTCTCACGCCTCCCGTTTGTCCCTTCTCCTTCAAAGAGCTGCTGGCTGAAGTCTGCTTTAGGCAGCGGAGAGGTGAGAGCAGAGAGCTTCCAGTGCTGGGACAGGTGTCAACAGTGTCAGACAGCAAACTAAGTTTTGGTGCAATGTCCAAGTCCATGTTTGGCTCTTTTAAAGCTTGGACTTCCTGACGGGGAAATTGTATGTCATATGATTTTGGTGTGTTAAGATGTTTCATGTACCTTCAGATTTGTCTTGTGAGTTGAAAGTGTATTGACAGTACAACAGGCAGTCATACTGCAGAACTGTTTCTTCTGAAGATGCGGTACGTTTTAGTGGCCTTTAGTCTTAAATACTGGATACATTTGATGCTGTATTACTGTTGTATATTTCATGGCAGCATCTTTGCATGACTTTCCTTTATATAAAATCTATCCAAAAGTTTAATTTTATCTTTAAAAATATTTTAGCTGTCAGGATATTTTGATTCAACCCCACCTTCACAACTCTGGTGGTGTTCGGTCTCTTTTTACAAATATTATATTTGTTTCATTGTTACAATTAATTGCAACTTTTCAGACAATTACAACCTTGGTGTTGAGAGAAATTAAAACCTCTACTTTATGTCCGATATAATATTTATCATAAGCTCATCAGTTACAATATTACTGTTTCCAGATCATGCAGAGACTTCTCTTCTTACACTTATTTACTCTCAGTTTATTCAGTCATTTTTAGACTTTGCAAATGATCTTCAAAATGTCTCTATCAGCATGCCTCGTTATTGTTGCAGTTATCTCATTAATTGAGTGTGCACACTCTATTATGGTGGAGTCTGCGTCTGTGTGTGTTTTTCTATTATGAGGTGTTTCAATTATGTGGACTAATTTACGAGGCCACATTATGAATCAATAAGCATAATGATATAAATTACAATTTAAGCTAATTTTCTAATTATTTGATGTAATGAGAAAGGTAATGTAACTCTTCATTAGAGAGATTATAAAGTCATTAGAATTATAAATGATTACAAACTGAATATTTGTAATTACATTGAACTGCAGATAATAACTGCAGATTTAACAGATTTGTCCTTATGGAGAGAGCTACAGAATCCAAAACTTATATATTTAATTTCAAGGAAATGGTATGCTCTCATCCCTAGTATGTGTGAAATGTTTCCATCGCCACTAAACAAATTAATTCCAAGACTGAAAGTTTTTATTTGCTTAATTTGAGTAAAACGCCTCTTTGAAGAGACCATTCTTAATATTCTGCAAATTAGAAGATTTCCTATGTGATTTGCTTAACATATCCTCGTCTTTTACCTTTTTTGTCACCCTATTTTTGTTATTATTATAGTATTTGTTGTGTTGATGCAAGGTAACAAAAATCCTTCTTTGATGGCTTAAGGTGCTGCTTTCTGTTTTGTATATTTGTACAGAAAGTCTCTTCTGCTTGTGATCGTCTGTTTGTCGGTTTTAGCATTTCTGAAAGTTAAACTGTGTTTATTTGTGTATGTGCACGTCTTAGTGGGTATGACGTTCTGATATATAATTGTTTTATTGCTGGTCATGAATGTATGCTGCAGTAAACGGTGCATAATTTCAGTTTAAAGATTTTAATGAGAGTTGTCGATAGAAATCCTGACGTCTGGGTGCCTGTGTGTCTGTTAGTGCGTGTTTCCTGGGAAGTAGCACAGAGTATATTATAGTGCCTATATACTGAGCTTGCCAAACATTTTTGAACAAGATGCAATAAGAATTTAGACAAGGGCTAGCCAAATGCGCTCAAACCTAGTCAGTTAGTGTTCAGCTGTTTTTTGAATCCTTTTTTTCAAGAATAACCTGAGGCGAAAGTCTTCTAAACAAGGACTGTGTACTGCAGGATTTGTCTCAGAAGTGTTGCAATTTGGTTTAATAAGCATCAAGTCTCTCCCTCTCTCTTTGTTTGTGATCAGTCTCTTTCTGACTCCTCTGCTCACTTGATACTTTCTGCCTCTCTTTTTCTCATCGTGTTAAATGCTTTACTATTCATTTGAAGTTAGTTTGGCTTTACATTACCAATCTGCCTCTGACAATGATAATTTACTCAGGAAAACATGCAAGTAACAAGTTGCTGCATTATATTTCCTGATCTATCAGATTAAGATTTTTCGTGTCTACTTTGTGCTTGGTGTTTGCTGATGTCTGATGGCTACTCGAAGCCTCTCCAGTGAGCATTTTTGGGGGATGGTTTGTCTCTGCCCGGTGGCGGAGCCCTGGGCTGTGCCAGCGGCAGGCTGGGTTTGGGAGCCACTGCCCACATGACGTGTCAGAGAGGAAGGCAGGGACGACGAGGAGACGTCGCACAGTAGTGTCGAGATAAGAGGGAAGAATAGGAGAGAGCATGTTTGTGTGTGGGGGGTTGAAGAAGAGACATTTCTCCATGAATTTCCTTAGATGCTACCAGAGAGAAGGTTTGGTGATAGTGATGGGTCACTTGCATATTATTATTTTTTAACTCTTGTTTAGAACTAGAATGGTAGTCTCCTTGTTTTGTTGGGTATTCAGTTGGAGTCTGAGTGAACATTTTGGAAACTTTAATGTTTAAACAGCAGTTGATGGATTATATAACCCGCCATAGCGTCGGGTCTATGAACCCTCTCTTAAAGCAATTGAGCGTAACACATGTGGCCATAAAGGTAGAAGCTTTATGGTAGAAGATTTGCCTTAATTCCAGACAAGCTGACATTTTGAAGATGCTCAATTTCCACACAATAAGAAGTAATGTATCTAAAGGTATTTTGACTCTTAGAGTAGCTAAAGCATGATAAACAACAACAAGCAAACATTTTAGACAATCATGAGGATTTCTAGCTCTGTTACACCAGTTGGATTTTACGTTGTAGGTATTTGAGCCACATTGTATTTGAAGTGAACTCTTGTGGTTATAAGGAGATTGTATTAAGTTGATATTATCAACATGTATGTGACAGATATGAAAACAATCCCTGAATAGAGCTTTGAAACTCAGCCTTAATAGTGACATTATTCAGTGGTTTTATTTATGTGGTTGTGAACTGTGCAGAAGCCACACTATTCAGATTCCTCCCTTTACTTTTTGCATTGTGGTAAAGAAGCGCGAATCATTTCTGGATTCTCCAGTTTCAGAGTAAAGAACTTTGTTCTGTTTTACGGCGGTTATTTTGCATATTCTCTCTGATATAGTGCTCCAATTTCACGAGTGACATTTTCACACTTACCAACACGCTTACCCCATGCACAGAATACCACCACACACTTAATGGTGTCAGGGTTATGCAAATCATCTTCACTAGAGTTCAAGTGTTACTGTAAATCTCAATCGTGTCGATAGAACAAAAATGATCTTAAATGCAGTGAAACTGAAAATATAAGTTTAGAATAGGTGTACAGCATGCACACACGAGCATACACAGTGTATGATTCATATTTGTGAGGATAGATAATCATCTGCTGAGGACAATATACAGCTAATCAGTTAAATACCCCCATTAAATATAAGATCAACAAGATTTTTGTTTCAGAAGGTGTGCTAAATATGGCACCGTATCTTACTTTCTGGCAGTTTACATAAATATACATATCATTATGTTGTTATTGAAGAGTTGTGAATCATCATTAAGCGCTGATATCGCTGCATGGCTACTCTGTTCTGCGATTACATGGGACATACACTGTATGTGTGTTTTCTAGAGAGCCAACCACAACTCTTCCTCTGTGCGGAACTGATGCTTGACTTCAGTTTTAGTCGTCTATGTATACGAGTTTGTGCTAGTATGAGAAGGAGAAGTCAGTTGGAGACAATGACAGTAGCGGTCATTTTTGTCGACAGTAAATTGTCCACCTTCTACACCCACCACATGCTTACTGCAGTGGTGAAAGGGTCGTTCTCCTAAAAGCTCGCCTGTGCAAATAGTCTTCCACTTCAGCTAACAGGGGCTACGAGGCACCACAAACATCCTGCCGCCTTGTATTTATTCCAAGTAGAAGTGGACATTAGGTGGGAAAGCTGTGGTTAGTAGGGCAAGCAATTCTTTTTTTCAAAGGACGGGATGGTGTTGGATGCGTACAGTTTCTGTCTTCTCTTCTCAAGCAAATCTCCCCCTTTCAGACATCAACAGACAAGATAATAAGACACTCAGAGCACAATTCCGTATTATATTCAGCAACCAAAGGCTCATCTCTTGTCAGTTTGCATTTACTCTCCCAAGGATGTGACGCTTCTATCATCATGCTGTCAAAGTGAGCCAGGCTGGAACGACAGGAGCACTCATTTCATACACTTACTGTCTACATGAAATGGTCTGCACTTATTCGGATTCTGCCAAAATGGTGGAACATTTTCACAAAGGTCACCTAGAGACCCCCCTCCCCAAAAGAGCAGAATGAATCTTTCATTGATTCCTGGTATTGGAGGTCATTCAGAACAAAAAGTCCACGCCGAATGCCCCATCTGCTGCTGGCTTCTATACATGTCCAGGTTTGTCAGGCTTCACTTACAATCTGATTGTATGCTGGATTAGTGAAATTAATGTTATCCGGACACGCAGGACTTTATTTTGGAGAGAATTTAGAGTTGCGTCATTAGAAAAGTAGCAGTACTTCTATAGAGCTGTAGTCAACCAAAGAAAATCCTGGTTGACTACGACCTATGTGGTCGATTGGGGAAAACAATCTGCATGTTATTTCTAAATCAACTAAACTGGCCTAAATTAATTGTAAATAAACATTAAAATATTTAATTTTTTACCTAATAATTTTATAATTATATGATAACAACACTCAAAGCCGACTAGCGTCCACCTGCCCGTATCTATATGATTTTGCCTGTAGTTAAGTTATTGATTAGATGAAACATTTTGACATTTTCTGATATGTTCACACTCAAAGCCAATCAGGAAGTGATGCCCAGGTATGAGTTTTATAAAGCAAGTTAATCTGCACGGCCCAACCTGCAAAAACACTCATTAA